TTGGAAAAGCGTCAATATGTGACGACATGGGAGTGAGAATGGGTTGAATTATTACACCCTGCCAATTTATTTCTATCCAGGACAGGGCTGACTCTAGCCATTTTGGTGCCCTAGGCGAGTTGAAGCGCAATCCCCCACCCCAATTTGAACCCCCTAAAAACAAGTTTGACAGTGTAAGGTACTATGGTAAACTTTGATTTATTTGCTCCCCTGCCCCCTCCGCCCACGGGTGTGAGTTGTATGGATTTTTTGCAAAATTTACGGATTTTTGAGGCTTTTTATACAGGTAAACATCCGAAGAGGTTGACATTTATGGGACATACAGACTTGGTGTTTTTGAGTTTGTCAACACGAACCGCTACCTGAGAGGCACTACTAGCCCCTCCCCCGTCAGAGTGTCAAAGCAGGACGAGTCAGTGCAATGTCAATCAAATGAGAGAGAGAGGGTGGGGGCGTTTGCTGCATTTAGGGGGCGGGGAGTGGGGGTTATGGGTAGAGTAGTTTATTTTCCTGTAAGACTTCATTAAAGTTTTTTAAGACAAAGCTAATTGAAAGGGGCGCTGAGCAGAGTTACAACCAGGGATTAAAAATAATAACTTTTTTCTTCTGCAGTTCAGCACCTCCTCCAGCAGATGGCGCTCTAGGCGACCGCCTAGTTCGCCTATGCCAAGAGCTGGCTCTGACTCAAGATCGCCAACTTACCTTAAAAAAAACACAGTAACTGATAGAACACTGACTTTTTGCGTGTACTGGCCTAAAATTAGATGAGGTAGCAGCTGAAACTGATTCCCAACATATAAGCATTTTATGCATTAACAAATTAGGCAAAGCTTTGTTTAAAATTTCTTATTTGGAGTCAACTTTCTGTTAGCCGAATACCTCGTGAAAAAACTATACACATTTTATTTGACCTTTTTTTTCCTTTTTTGTGTCACTTCAGTAGAAAACAAAAACAAATATTAGTTTATTTATTTCTTCATCATCATTTTATTTGAACTTTAAACAAAAAAATTGTTGGATGTACACTTTATGAATGTTGATACGTAGCAACTAAACAGTGAGGAACAATAAAAATAGTTGTGTAGGAATAAAAAAATAGAATTCTAGCTTATTTCAGATCAGCACCTTGCAGAGTGTTCAGTATTTACCACTAATGAGCCTGTGGCTTCACATAAATCCAATCCTGGCTTGATTGAACTGCTATCCGTGGTGATGGGAGTTTTTTTAAGTTAAAGGCCAAAGTTTCAACTTTTAAACCTCCTTTTACGTTTTTAATAMWGTTTTCTCCTCTTGCATTACTAAATCCATATACCCGACTGCAATTTTTATTTCACCCAACTGAGGAGCTTGTCTGACTCACCTGTGCATCAGTTCTGCTCAGGAAACCCTTCACTCACACAGCCACCCCAATGGGGCCTAACTGCTGCACAGCTTCTCACTGTAAGTCAAGTGGTTTATTTTCTCAGGTTTTGTTTACACTCTGCAATGTTATGATTCCCAATTGGATCTAACTGAATTTTTGCTCTCTGCAGAAACCAAAATGTTAGGTTGTGAACCAAAAACACATCCCTGACAACCTTCAGCCACAGTTTAACATCTATAGAATTAAGTGGAATAAAACTGGGAGTAATTGACAGTCCTAAAATATTGTAGCGAATTACCCCATGAAATTTAGGACCAGCCTAATCTTCACAAAGATAATCCCTCAAGATCTTGCAAAATGAAATCAGGTTTTAATGAAACACACCTCTGATCATGAATGAGAAAAAATGAAAACTTGTGACCTGAACAGATTTCTCAAAATAAAGTAATTTATTTTAGATATATGAACAGATTAAACA